CCCAAGCCTGACTTGGCTGCCATCCCAGCCCATGACCTGCAGGCCCAGGCCCTGGCCAACCTGCGCCTGAATTCACGCAATTCCTTCCTCTTTGTGCCCCGCCGGGAGGGCAGCCCAGCTCTGCCACCGGCCCAGAGCACCAGGCCGGGGCCACCGCCACCATCCTTGGAGGAGAAGGCACCGAAGGAGCCCCCGAGGGCTTCTGCCCCGGAGCAGGAAGAGCCTCTCGCTTCCCCACCGGCACCTCTGGATCCGTTGGTACCTGTGACTTACATCGATGACATTGTGGAGCCGGACAGTGGGGAGCTTTCTCCTAGGGCCGTCTCGGCTGCAAGGACAGGGAGCTTGGCAGATCAGCCTGGTGGAGCTGGCCCTGACCTGGAGATGGAGTTTTCCTCTGTGCCCCTCTATAGACTCCACTCTGCACCCCACCAGAGGGGAGGTAGCACCTTCACTGTCGTGCCCAAAAGGAAGCCTGTTTCCTCAGGGCTGCAGACTCTCACTGATGCCAGCGGAAGGCTGCAGCGGGAGGAAGAGAAGGAGGAGGAAGAGGAGAGCAAAGAAAAAGGCAAAGCCGTGGAGAATGCTGACGGGCCCCAAGCAGGGATGTCCCATAAAAAGCGCTACCCCACGGTGAATGAGATCGAAGTGATAGGGGGGTACCTGTCCCTGGAGAGGTCCTGCATGAGCAAGACAGGCTCCCGTCGCAAGAAGGTAACTGCCTGGGGTGCCTCCGCACTGAATAGCCAGGCTGAAAGTAGCTCAATACTACTTTTGGCTTGTCTTTTCATGAGGCACCGGGTGGGAAGATAGGCAGTGTTTTTCTGGTCCTTTTGAGAGCCAGAGGCTTGCCCTCAGGGAGGGGGCACTGGGTGCTGTTTCACCACGTAGATGAGGGTGGGATATGACCTGTGGTAACTGCAGGGCCTCTCCCACAGTTGCTTCTTGGAGGTATGATAACGGAAAGTAAAATATTTCGGGTATTTAGAAAAATTGAGGCGAGTCGTGTGGTTTGAACAGCTGTGGACTTGCCCCCTCTCTAGCTATGCTCACTGTGTCTGGCAGGTGTTGGACATGTTGGGCTCCCCGTGGTCACTGCCCAGCTTGTGACACAGTACGGTGGGCAGCGTGGTGCTGGCGTCTTCCCCGCATTAGCGATCTATTGATAGAGACTCAAGAATTAGGTCTCTATTAGGCAGAAAGAGATCAGCAACAACTTAACTCCCCTTGATAGGATTATACCACCTGGCTGCTTATTCTGGATGTGCAGCTACATCTCTGAAGATCCACGAGATGTCGATTGCCCCAAGTGTCTTTGGAGTGAATGCCAGGTCTTCTCACTGCTTGGGATCTAACTTAGATACTTGGCGAGCCTTAAAGTGAGAATTAATCTCTGTATGGCTTGGTGAAATGCATCTGGATGTGATAAAGACACAGTCATGCTGAAAGGGCAGGTTATTTTGCTGTGCCGGAGCAGTAGGCTCTGAAAGCAGCACACCGAGGTGACAAATCCTGATTTCTAGGTCTGTGACATGACACGTTTTTCCATAGCAGGAAGAGTTGTTTGACGTTCCGTTACCTAAATTCAACTAAATATTTGAGGGACTGAATCCGCATGGGTACCTGAGGCACTAAGCATTATAATTTGAGGAAATCCTTTGAGTAGGGTGCATGTCATTTAGAAGGGAGGCAGGGAGTGCTGTTTCTCTTGGCTTAATGTTGTTAAATTCCTTCATCAAGAGCATGCAGTCTGTATTAATTTGATCGTGACTAATGCAGATAGCAGATCTGGAGTATTAGCGCCATGAGATCCAGAATAAGCAAATAAGCAGGAGTGTTGATTCTCGCCCAGTGCTCCTGCAGTTTTTCCTTGTCCTCCTGCAGGGAAATGCTTGATCAGACTGGAATTGTTCTGCTGCTTAAATACCTGCTGGCTTGCATTCATTCCAGTGGTTTTCTTGTCTCTGCTCATTTCAGTTTGGGGTATTAATTCCCAATAAATAAACCAAATCAGGTGTGGTATAAATGGTGAAAATATCAAGACAACATTTTACAGTTATGGGTACTCTTAGGATGGAGCAGAAAATACAGAGGAAACTTTGCGGGACAGACACTCTTAGATAAGTCTGGCTTCTGATGCAGCCAGAGGAGCTGATTTCTCTGTGCAGGGTGGTGCTGTTGGGGCAGCAGCCTTGCTGGTAAAAGAATAAAGCCTCAAGTAAGCAAAATCAATTAAATGGTGCGCAGTGGAAGCCGTCCGTAATAGTACAAAAAGGCGGGAGGGGGACAGGGACAAGGACAAGGCTAGTGCAGCGACTCAATTGTTTAAGGTTGGTCAAACACTGGAACAGGAGCCCAGAGAAGTAGTGGCATCTCCAGCCTCGGAGCTATTTGAAACTTGCCTGGGGAGAGCCTTGAGCAACTGATCGGGTCAGGCCTGCTTGGAGCCGGCGTTTGGGCTAGAGACCTCCAGAGGTCCTTTCCTAACCTAAAATATAGTATGATTCTTTGAAATTGGTTAACAACTGTTTTGTCTGTTCAGTGTTGGATTTGTGTGTGACATTGGGCAGGTCATGTAGCTTCTCTGCCTATGTTCTTGTCAGCTTAATAGCATTAACTGTCCCACTCTGCAGACACTCTGAAGATGAAGTGTGCTAAATACTGCAAGATGCATATACAACTGTGAGGACATATGCCAAGAATCATATGTGGGGGATGTCCTGCATGAGAACTTGCATAAAGATCTAGTTTCTGAGAAGAGCGATATTAAAAGGCAAAGGAGGAACTGCCTGTTACATTGCAGAGCTCAGGAGGCTGAAACAAATGGGGACCCTTCGGAAAATAAGATCTAGCTTAAGGAGAAGTAGTAGAGACACAAGTTTCTGGGTAAAACTAAATGTGGTGATGTAGTGGGAAAAACACCAGCTTTTCTTTCAGTTCCCTTCCTGATAGGGGTAGCAAGCATGGAGTTTGACTTTGTAGGCAGGTTTTAGAAGATGCTGAAGCTGTAGCAAATGGAAAGATTTCTGTTTACTCTTAACCTAGAGGACGTTTGTGGCTTTTACTCTGGGTAATAAGGCTGAGTGTTGATGCCTGAAAAGGAAGGAGCTAGTATTAGGACGCATTCCTTGGTTTCTTCCCAAGAGATTGCTGTGTGTCACCAAGGCAACCGGCCAAAAACAAGGGTTCTGTTTTGTAGATATGCCAGGGTTTTCAGAAACTTGATTTTGGCCTGAATTGGGCAGAAGCAGACATTTCCTGTGAGCTGGAAGCTACAATTCTTTGGTAAAACCAATGTCCCTTTCTTTTTTGGGGATATCAAAATCAAACCTGATGCTGGTTTCGGTGAGCAGCTACTTGGGTCTTTTGGGGTGATTCTTTCCAGGCAGACCTGCTGGATGAGTCCACCTCCTGCTGAGCATCTTCCTTTCCAAACCTTGCCTTGGATTTGCTGAAAGGTCTTTAAGTATGCTCCAGCTTCAAGAAAGTGGTGTTTAGTGAAACCTCGATGACTTGGAAAACTTCATCTGCTTGCTGATCCCCAGCAGGAGTCTGGGTGAGGTAAACAGCAGGTATAGCACAGCCTGGAAATGCTGCGTTCCTGCAGATCCGGGGGTGTCTGTGCTTGGAGTCAGAGCTAATGATTTATTAGGAGGGAGAGAGGCGGTGGTGGCAGTTAGACTGATTGTTCTGTGAGATGCAGACTGTGTTTTTCTTCAAATGCAGAAATTCGGCCTCCCTTTTCAGTCCCCTTGTCTGGCCATTGATTGCCTGACTATGGTAGAGATGCCAGCAAAATGGAGCTGACTTGGGCCATGTCCTCCGGTCCATGTCCTCCAGTCCACATGCCTCCATGGCTTTTTGGAGTGGGAGGGTGGCTGGGACAGGGTGGGAGTGGGTTCCAGCGCTGCTCTGGTCTGTGCAGAGGGAGCTCCAGCCCCCTGCTCTTGCCTGCACAGCTGCTGACGGTGGCTGCAGGATTTGTGACTTTGCTGTGGCCTGAGGGACGCTGCTGGTGTTCAAGGCCTTTCAGGAAAAATAGCTTTATTGCTCCTTCCAGACACTTCAAATATGTGAAGCAGCTGTTTGTTTTGGGGTTGGAGCTGCATCTGAGCTGATGAGGGAGAGAGAAATGCTGTTCCTGTGTCAGAATAAAAAATGGGTTCCCAGCTCTCTTGTGCAACTGGAGCTACTGCGGTGGGACAGCTGTTGTTCACACAGGGCTGTGAAGGTGAACATGGGGTTGTTTGTGTATGATGGGACACAATCAACATCTGCAGGTGCAGGGCAGAGTCCCAGCCGTGCTTGTCCTGGGGACCGGCCTGCCTGTGTGGGCAGGGAGTTTGAGCTCTTGTCCTCCTACAGGTGTTAAGATGCCCTCTTAACTTGACCTCTCCAAGCGGTATCACAGTTCAGATAAAGCAGGGGGAGTGTAACTTCAGTTTGAAAACTAAGTGAACATTTGCAGCTTTGAACAGACATGCTGGGTTTCAAGCAGAGTGCTGGGCAGCTGCTGGAAGAGGCTGGCTGAGCTGACAGCTCTGATGACGAGGACAGGATACGTGTGCAGGGGTGGAAGGAGACCTAATGACCTTTATTCTAAACAGGGAGTGGGGGAGAGGATGCAGAGTTCTGTTGGTGACCTCTGTTCAGTGCTTGTCTTCGTACTCTCTTATTACAGAAGTAGTAAAGACACTTCAGCCTGATAGCCCTAGGAGGAAGGGAACGCTTCGCTGCAGGATGTGGATCTTTGGGATCTCAGAGGATAAAATCCAGCTTGGCTGAGCTGACAAGAATCAATCTTTGTTTCGTTACCTGCCAGGAAAATGTACAATAACGTTGTCAGCAAGATAGAAATCTAGGTTTCTGTAAAACATGTGACTGGCATGTTGGAGCGAGTGATTGGAAAGGACTGCAAACTGCCGAGCCAGCTGGGGTCCTGAGAAATAGTCTTTTATCTAGGCTTCATGTTCTCATCTTGTTGGAGGCTGGACTCTGCTGTGAAGGTCCCGTGTGTACAGAATTTGCCCTGACTGTGCTCCTTCCTTATGTCTTGTCACTCCTGCAGTTCATCCCAAGTCACAGTATGTTTGTCCTCTCCAGAACCTGCTACCTCTTGGGGAACCTGCAGGAAAGGTGACTTCTGGTCAGGCCACCTGAAGTCCTGTAAATAACCAGACTTGTGAGCCAACAGACATCAGATTGTTGGTGGGTTTAATGTTTTTTGCTTGTCACAGTTGGCAGTTTGCCGAGTGCTGGAAGGTGAGCTGCAGCCTTGGTGAACAGGGCTTACAAGAGCAAGGTTGGTGGGATCCAAACAGTTGGAGTCTAATGCTTTCCTGCTTCTTTGCAAAATTATCTTCAGAGATGTTCAGCTTCAGCTGAACTTCAAAAAGTTCAAGCTTATGTGGACTTTAGCATGGTCCATTTTCTAATGTTTTGAGCTGCATAGTGCCTGAATATGGCTTCCAAATGCCCACCTAAATGTCTGTTAAAAAATCATTCTAAACATCCTTCAGCTTTTCATCATGGGCTGGATTGGGCAGCAGTTTTGTTGGTCTAACCTGCTG